TGTTCAAATTATGGAAAGCTAAATAGAAATTCTCGTAATCGTTGATATTGAACTACGGCATCAGCTGATGGTTTGAACATCACACTTTAAATATCGCCTTGAAGCATTGAGTCAGTTAAATTTCCGTTACGGTTTTTCGATGTTTTATATGGAAACTAGCTGACTCGGCAAACGTTGTTTTGCCATATAAATAATTTCTAGGAAAGATAAATAACCTATATACCGACTGCAGTGCCGTCTGCCGGGCTGATTTGCGAATCTAAACCATCCAGGGCGCCACCAGGTCAAGCCGTTTAGAAGGAGTTCAGTGACAAACACACGCCCAGAAAAAATATATATAATATAAAGATATGTGATTGCACCGCGGCTGAAATAGAAATGGTGCCTCACAATGTAATGACGTTGGTCTAACATCCATTTTATGTAGGACTCTCAAATTCTTCGCTTGTCAGATCACTAATTTGGTCAGACAGGAAACCAATTTTCTTCATTATAACCGATATAATGTAAAACTATTTCACATTAAGATAACTGTTGAAATAGAAGAGATGTTACACTTTGTACTATTTTTGGCGAATATAGTATGGATATGGATAGCAAGATATGAAGAGGCTCTGTATGAACTATTGCTTAAGAACAAACAACACGCGTAAACATTTTAGATAGATATGATCCAGACTCTGAAAATGAGGATATATCGTGACAATTATTTTATTTTGAACTAGCTGACCGGGCAGACTTCGTAGTGTCTTAATTGATAAATAATAGACCTAAACTTTTGTATAAAATAAACGTAAAACAAACAAAAGGAATCCGTCCGACGGGAGACACATCAAAGGAAAAACAAAAATGTTATTTTTATTTAATTCCGAGCAATTTCATATTTATCTGGCCTTCCACAAATATTTCAAGACCAAAATTAGCCAAATCGGTCCAGCCTCTCTCGAGTTTTAGCGAGACTAACGAACAGCCATTCATTTTTATATATAGATAGGTTACATCCCGTGAGACTTTCTGTAATGTAAAACAAATGGTTTTATTCAGATAAAACAAGTTACTTTTGTTTGCAAACAAACCTGTTATACCACCAAACGTGGTGCACCAAATTGCAAATCTTTGTTCTCACCTCACCGAATCGCAGAAAGAATCAAAACACGTAAACTACATATGCCCATTTGTAAAATAGGCTACTTTAGAGGTTCACCGACAAGGGGCTGAATGCCTTTCTTTCCCACGACGTAAATATTGTTGTGTTCCACTTTGATCTGAACGAGACAAGATCCAATTACGATTGAAAGGGCTTGTAACTTTTCGCATCGTATTTTCACAATGAAATAATGTGTTTCTTAAATTTTCTTCTTTGGCTGACTTAAATATTTATGTTTACTAGCACAAGTTTTTGAATGGTGTCTAAATGAGGATTTCCAGCTCGATATAGAAAACTCATCTACTCTGCAACTACTTATTTTATTTTGAAACAAACTTTTATTTACTATTGAGTAACAGTTAATTAGTTTATTTTATATATTTAACTACTGCTTAGTACACGTCTTAACTATTTAATATCATTGGATCATGACATATTGGATACACGTTTTCAGGGCTATAGAAAAAATATAGGTTTTTGTACCCTTCATCTATAAACATGATTATACTATATCCTTGAAACCACAAAATTATTGTCCTCAAATTCGTACTCTGACAGTCACAAATTAAGTGGAGTTGATTAAAAATGCATCATGTTAAATTGCACCGGCAAGGATGCAAGGATCAGCATTGAATCTTGGGCTCTGATTGTAGTAATCTATAAACATCATATTAAAGAAGCTTTTCCACTTTTAGTGATCGCAAGTTAGTTCCTATGTAATGTAAATCACCTTATTAAATCTTGGTACTTGGTACGGAAAAGTAAAAAAAAAAGTGTATTGTTTCACAGTGCAAATTGTAATTTATTCTGCGAATAACACTGAGCTACAATTAGAACGTATCCTCATACGATGAGCAGGCTCGTAACGTTAAACATCGCGTGCATGGATATATTAAGAGATTTCAACTCATCGATTTCACATTTTCAAGCAAAATACGCAACTTTTGGTTTCACAACAAAACATTCGCCTTCTTTTTTTTTTGAACACAATGAATACAATTAAAAGAAAGCCGCGAGATGGTAATGAGCGAAGGTTTTGTTGTAATTGAACTAATTTGGGAAACGTGACTTGTCATTTGAAATGTTCCTCGGAGAAAGCGATTATCAATAACAAACTGATGATATTTTTAAAGAAAATTACCATGGAACTTTTTTTGGTACCCGAAACTTTCAAAGTGCTGTTTATAAATACCAGTTCAAACATAAGCAGGCTTCTAATTTTTTTTTTTATAGCTTAGTTGGGCGAACGAGCTCACAGCCCACTTGGTGTTAAGTGGTTACTGGAGCCCATAGACATCTACAACGTAAATGCGTCACCCACCTTGAGATATAAGTTCTAAGATCTCAGTATAGTTACAACGGCTGCCCTACCCTTCAAACTGAAACGCATTACTGCTTCACGGCAGAAATAGGCGGGGCGGTGGTACCTACCCGCGCGGACTCACAAGAGGTCCTACCACCAGTTCTAATTATTACTCCGATCCAGGGTGATCCCGGTGACAATATTTATTATTTGCAAATATTGATTTGCAAATTGTCCTTCATCCAAATTTAAATCGTTGCAATCATTAAAAAAATATAGAATAGTATTATTAATAATCGAAACGACCGTACACTATTCAAACAAGCAGTTTTAATTGGCCAGTAATTGCACGTAAAAGCTTTTTATTTCGTTAAAATTACAGACAAAATTAAGTAACCTTAAAGCAAATTGCTATAAATTTGACCTTTCACATCGTTACTTGCTCGAAACTCAAGGTTACTTTGTAATTTTAGGAAATATTCCGCGTTTTAGTATACGATCTGTATANCAGGATCGGGAATGTAGTTACCGGCGGCCACGATGAGAGGGTTCTCGTGTCGTGCCGCTTTATCGAAGTGGCGCATGGACGCCGACTGCAGATACTTACTGATGGACTCTAAGTCCAGGTCGTCATGGAGGTCGACATTCCTGACGAACCACGGGGCTCCGACGGCTATCCTGCAAAAACGGGATTGAATGATTTGAAAGGATTTTAAGTGTATGCGGGCCGCGTGAGCGAACACTACACTTGCATAGGTCATGACGGGGCGTATGCAAGTTTTGTAGAGTGTCACCTTATTTCTAAGGGACATTTTACTTCGCCTACATATCATCGGGTAGATTTAATAAGGAATAATGAATTTAATTACCCAGCAATTTTTTTTACACTAAACAAAAAATAAGGAGTGTTTGATTTGTATGTTTGTATGTTTGTACATTACAAATGTTGATAAATTTTCAATCCGGCATGGGTTCCTCCTATAAATGGTCAACACCAGATGTAACCCTTTTCAGAATTGTATATTTTTATTTTATTTTTTTTATTTATTGCTTAGGTGGGTGGACGAACTCACAGCCCACCTGGTGTTAAGTGGTACTAGAGCCCATAGACATCTACAACGTTAATGCGCCACCCACCGTGAGATACAAGTTCTAAGGTCTCAGTATAGGTACAACGGCTGCCGTACCCTTCAGGCCGAAACGCATTACTTCTTCACGGCAGAAATAGGCAGGGTGGTGTCAGGGTTTTCACAATTGTATTTGTCATAGTCTAATCTCTTAAGTGCACGACAAAAATAAAAATAAAACATTTCTGAAGGCTGCTTGAATGTAAATTTAAGAATAAAATCAATTCAATTTCAACATTTCACAAATCCTTGGTCCGTTGTCTTTTCCTTGATTTCTAAGGAATACATAAAAAATATAGAACTATTTAAATCAATCGTTGCAACGTTGAATTAACGTATAAAACCACTAGGATACGAATGTGGAACGAATTTCGATGTGAACATAAATATCTAACTGCTTCATTGAATGAAGGTGATTTCAATAACGTTTTGTTACGAGTGAGTTTCGGATATTTTTGTCTGTACCCATATTCGAAATGTTTTTTTTATGAGCATAGCTAAGGTTCCTTGTTTGTAGTGCTTAAGGAAGCATAGGTACCAATGTGACTACCGTCGTTTATCTTGAGACGTATTATCGAACGATCAATTAATCGGATATCACTACATAGTATAAAACAAAGTCGCTTTCTCTGTCCCTATATCCCTATGTATGCTTAAATCTTTAAAACTACGCAACGGATTTTGATGCAGTTTTTTTTAATAGATAGAGTGATTGAAGAGGAATGTTTATATGTATAATAACATCCATTAAATAGTGGAGAAATCAATAATAAGTTACAGTTTCCGAAGCGAAGCGAGGGTGGGTTGCTAGTTGTTAAATAAATAACAAGGATGTTTGAAGAATTTAATTTTTGCTAAATTTGATGAACTTTACGTCGATCACGATTTACAATTCATTATTAACTCACCTCTTAATTAAGAAACAACTAAATCGTTTGTATGATCTACCAATTTCTGCCAAATTATGAGGATTTCAAAATCTATCTATACTATGAATACGAAAATCATATCTTTGAAATGATAAAAGCGAAAATATGGCTGAATGCATTTGATTTAACGGCTACGTTATTTTTTCTCATGGTAAATGACATGACCTGGACAACGACGTCTCTGATATCATAAATACGATATTGTATATGCAAGTTTATGTATTATCATACATACCATCGGGTCTACAAATCCACTAGAATTTATAGATCAGAGAGTCACGCCAGCACCTTGCTGCATTCTTTGATAAATTTAAGAGAGAGAAACCTCCCTTTAAAAATTAGGAATACTACTACTGTTGGTAGGACCTCTTTTGAGCCCGCTCAGGTAGGTACCACCACTCTGCCTGTTTCTGCCATGAAGCAGTCATTAGTTTTGATTTGAAAAACTATGCTGTCCTATTCTGACCTATTAAATATTTTTTCATTGCTTTCAGGTTCGACCAGGGCAAGTCAACAAAAGGCGCGAGCAAACTCCGACGCGACCTGATCAATGCAGAAATCGCAAACCTCCGGGACTTGCTTCCTCTACCTCCTTCCACCAGACAGCGGCTCTCACAACTACAACTAATGGCTCTCGTGTGCGTCTATGTCAGAAAATCCAACTATTTCCAACAAGGTATGATTACGAGATAGTAGTCTTAAATTTGAATCGTCCCTGCTTATTTCTGCCGTGAAGCAGTAATGCGTTTCGGCTTGAAGACTGGGGCAGCCGTTGTAACTATTTCTGAGACCTTAGAACTTATGTCTCAAGGTGGGTGGCGCATTTACGTTGTAGATGTCTATGGGCTCCAGTAACCTGTTAATACCAGGTGGGCTGTGAGCTCGTCCACCCAACTAAGCAATAAAAAAAAAGTGTCTTTCTCTCTACTTTCGTAAGACTTATTTTCATAATTTCTGCTGACAATTGTTTATTAGTTTAATATATTATGTATGTAGTAGTAGTTTAAGAACGTTTAGAACGGATGGCCGTTGGAGCCAGAAAGTCCTTGAGAGGCGACCGCGTACCGGAAGACGTAGCGTGGGTAGGCCTCCCACAAGATGGACCGACGACCTATTGAGGTATGCGGGGATCCGCTGGATGCAGGCAGCGCAGGACTGGTCTTTGTGGTATGGCTTGGAGGAGGCCTATGTCCAGCAGTGGACGTCTGTGGGCTGATAAGAAGAAGTAGTTTAATATATCTAATAGTTTAATTTAAGTAAACTTTTGGGAACATATACCTAATATGTATATCAGTCGATCGTTTCTGTAGAACGAAAAGACTAGTTTGGAGTCAAATATTTAGACAGCAGCGTGGCTTTGTCTCTGGAATTAAAATCTATCTATAATATCTATCACAAATCTATATTACACTAGGTAGTATGTGTAGTAGGTGCTATGATTTAGTGTATTTATTTTAATTTAAATTATCTATTATAAATAAATTTAGAGTGTCCAATATTAAGTGTCTCAAACATTAAGTGCCCCAAAAACTTTTAAGGCAAATTTTTGTAGTAGGTACCTTATAAATTCGCCTATTGATTCAAAGCAAGATGAATTTATTACAATGTTATTATTAAATCAATAAAAAGTTGACGCCGTTAGCTACAATTTATTTAATTACATGCGTACATGGTAATTTGGAACAGTAAAAGGGCAGTACTGTACCCTACTGAAGGGACATGAAATGGTCTTTAAATTTTAATTTGATATTACTGTTCGCCGAAACAATTATTAGCCGTCGCAATAACCAGTTTCCTTGGAGATTAAAACTGCATATCGTGTGAATATTTCAGCACTCAGTATATATTATGTATGTAAGCAGTCTCTGAGCTGCGTCATCTCTCTTGATAGAAAAGATATTGCCACGGTATGAACTCGTTTCAGTTCGGAAGCTTATTCCAGTTTGAAAAGTATAAAGATCAAACGTCTTTGTCGTCATTTTATTGTTTTTGTTCGTTAAAATGGTTTTTTTTATTGCATAGATGGGTGGACGAGGTCACAGCCCACCTGGTGCTAAGTTGTTACCAGAGCCCATAGACAGCAACAAATGTCACATTGAGACATGAGTTTTAAGTCTCAGTGTTGCAGTACAAAACCTGTCCCCGTCCTTCGCAACTGAAATAGGCTCGGTGGTGGTACCAATCCGTGCGCGCTCATAAGGCGACTAGTAAATACTAATACTAGTAAACACTCGTATGTACCTCTTAGGATATTATTTTCAAAAATACCCATCTACTAATACTTTTATTTGGAACCAAAAGCCGATATATGTTTGAAATTTCATAATATTAATTTGAATGCGGTCTTCCATATTGATTACCATAGATTCGGAATTTTCTTAGTGGGCACTAACGATATAAAAGTATCAACTGCCAAAATTTCAAGATTTTAGCTACGTAATTTCTAGGCTTAGGCTCTGATAAATTAGACGAATTCGTTTATGAATCACTTGGTTAGTCCGGATCAGTAATTAGATAGATATATGTTAAAAAGACGCGTGAAATCGAAAAGTGTAACAAGTATTTTTAATCAGAAAGCTTTAAACATTTTAGTGTTCTAGCATTTAAAATCTATTAATCTAGTATCAATAATAATATTAAAGAATAACATCATTAAATCATGACACACGATAAGAAATAAATAGTAACATTGTATAACATACATTTAATATTTCTAAAATTGCTTACCACCGACATTGGTAGCTTGGTATGCGAATGGCTTCTAAGCAGTCTCACAGCGTGAGTCCACAGAACCGATGTACTGACGCGTTGAGTAGTAATAAACAACCTATGAATTAATATCAAACGAGCATGATATGCTGTCCGCCACTCCTTGCAGCCGAGCATAAGCTAACGTGAACATATAAGATTTTATAGTACTGATTCATCAATTTGAAATTTGTGTATTATTGGTGATTTTATTGCACAGATAGGTGAATGATTTTACGGCCTACCCCGTATTAAGTGGAAATCAACAGTTTACTGGTGGTACGATCTCTTGTGAGTCCGCGCGGGTGGGTACCACCGCCCTGCCTATTTCTGCTGTGAAGCAGTGATGCGTTTCGGTTTGAAGGGTGGCGCAGCCGTTGTAACTATATTTGAGATCTTGGATCTTGTATCTCGGGGTGAGTGGCGCATTTGCGTTGTGGATGTCTATGGGCTCCAGGAACCACTTCACACCAGTGGTAGGCAGTGGCTTGGCTCTGCCCCTAGCATTGCTGAAGTCCATGGGCGACGGTAACCACTCACCATCAGGTGAGCCGTATGAACGTCTGCCTACAAGGGCAATAAAAAAAAACACCAGGTGGGCTGTGAGCTCGTCCACCCGAAATAGAACTAAGAGTTAAATTAATTTTTTGTTCCTATCTTAAAAAAAATGAATTTCCTAAATAGGTCTATGATTTCTACAAAAGAATTAAAATCGCAACTTACTTAATCAATAACCATTAGTCAAGTAAATTCGATGTTTGTTTTTCATATAAGACACATTAATTAACCATTGTTATTGCTCAAAATTAACTAGGTATATCAAGATTTTATATTTACATTTTAATCGCCTTAAGGGTTTTTTTATTTGAAAAAAATTACGAATTAAGCAATACTTTTAAAGTTATATCTTCATGTCACCCTACGGCTCAGTTTGATGTACATTGATGAGTCTATTGTCAACACATCTTGCAACGGAATTCAAACAATAAAGCAATAAGGGAACCTTGAAAGCGATTTTCTCCGCTCACTTATACCACACATATCACACAAGTCCATTAACAAACGCTTAAGATTCTCTTCTTCAAGCTCAATTTACCGCGTTAAGACAAGGTCGAATTTCACGTCAGTATCGAACGTGGGCACGCAAAGACCAAAACGCTGCCTTGAACGGCAAAAACACAACAATTATGTAACGAAAAATCCGATATTCTCACGATCGCGAAACAGTTAGGTCGGGACGCTACCGTGCAAAAAACAATAAGGTTTCGATTTGATTGGAAAATTAGAGAAAATTAGCGGGTTCGGTTCTGACTACTGGCTGCTTGCTGGTTATTGGCCCTAATGGTGCCTGGAGGGATCGAATCTGAGACGGAGCGTGTCACGCCGAACTTGGAGCGGCTTTAGTTCACATGAGTTCATCGGGAATCACTTTATGAGTCATCAACGATTTATTTACAGGCAGCCGTAAAGTGTAAGAAAAATAAATAATAAAGCATATATAAATTATTGTTTTTTTTTTATTGCTTAGATGGGTGGACGAGCTAGCTAGCCCACCTATTGTTAAGTGGTTAGTGGAGCCATAGACATCTACAACGTAAAAGCACCACCCACCTTGAGATATTAAGGTCTCAGTATAGTTACAACGGCTACCCCGCCCTTCAAATCGAAACGCGTTACTGCTTCACGGTAGAAATAGGCATATGAAAATACTAAACCTAAATTAAGTAACTGGAACAACCTTTTTTATTTGAAATTCCGTATTAGACTTTGCGTAGTCATACACGTCTATATCAAAGAGATTTTGTTCCGATGAAATATATCAGGAATAAGAGCTCTAATTTCTCAAGTAAAAATTCAGCATAATTTTATTATATCAATAAAGATCGAAAAAAGTCTAACAATCCAATACAACTTAAATTCTTCCTCTAAAACAAGAATGTGCAAACATTTTGTCGAGATTCCCTTTAGTCCATCCTCCGACTCAGAGTTGCATATTGTCTTTGTATAGAGGTAATACGACCTTATTCTGTATTTAACATTCGAGTTTAATATTGCTATACTTTATTGTGTATACCAAAAAACCACTATTATAATTGCAGTATCTATATTTGATTATATTCTTATAAAATAAAAACAAATCGTATTCTTGATTAATAAATATTGGTATCGAATTTATTGGGACGTAAAAATCAATAAGCCATAAAAAAAAATCATCATAATTAATCATTTTATAGTCTAAATTGCGTAGATCAATCAACCAAGGTGAAACTTATGTTATGAAGTTGAAAGTCACCGCATATTAATATACATACTAATAATTTTATTTATCATTCCCAATAGTTTTCGTTCATGAATAAATATCATGATATAAAGATAAGTGTAGTCTAGTGAATTGCTCAATTTGTCAAATATATAAATAACTTATATTTCCGATACAATCGGTAGTTGGATTAAATTAACCATCAATTATCATAACTATTCAAATTAAGTGTAATGGCGGTCAATAGCTATTTTATTTCTTGTATCGGACAATAAACTACATGGCAATCGATTTTTAATTATTCGTAAATATGCGTCCAACACAAATGCGTTTTTTTTGCTTCAAATTGAATTTAAATTTCCAAATAATTCAGATCTTTTATAAATATTCTTGACATCTTCTCAGATGGCATAAGCATATTTATCTTTTATTTACATCTTGAAATAAAGCACCTTACGTATTATTACATGTATACATATTTCGAATCCAAATAAATACGATTTTGTGATCAAACGATCGATGATCCTGGTTCATATCTCACACGCCATTAATTTTATAGTCAATAATTTTTAGTGGTCCATATTTTAAGGAAACTAAAAAGTTTAGTGTTTCTTTATTGTATTAAATTGGATTTTATTTCAACGATTATTTTGTACGATGATTTCTTG